GCGTCGATTGCGCTGGAAGCGTTTGGCAACATCAACGAGCAGTTCTTCAAGTGCCGCGGTGACACGTACTAAGCCCTGTCGTTCGAGTAGTCCATCTTGATTGGGTTTTAATGAATGTGTGTTTTTACTTTGAGGATGGGAAGTTGTTGGCTAATGCTACGATTTGTTATGAAAATTCAAGAAATTTGCGAATCTTAATGCTGCACAGTGCATGACCGGTTCCACTTGTCGCCGGTGCACTTAGAAGGTGTCTTGTGGGAGCTTGTCAATGCATAGCGTGATTGTCAAGAGACTTATGACTGCGCCTGCTGCTCTAGGTAATACATGTAGATGCACCGCTAGGCACAGTGCGAAACAGACTCTAAAACGCCAGCGAGTCAAGCAAAAGAGTGTTGACCGTCGCAAGTGCTGCATGGGAATCTGGATCGCACTAAGATTGCTTCGTTTGCGTTGCAATTTCACGCTCCAGAGGCAGCGAGATATCCAGAGCAATCAACGGATGTACTACAGTATATGTTACGCTTTACGAAGTACTGCTGCTACGCCCGTGCAAGAAGATCGTCATCGACCCAGTAGCGTTGCCTTCATTGATGATGTAGTGCAGCTGAATATGAGCACCCGCGTCGAGGTGTGTAGTGTGGCCTGCATCGAAGGGGTATTGCGTGTCGATTCGCGTTTTGAAGGACGACGTTTTGGCGCTCGTCTTGTCAATATAGAGTTTCGTCGTCAACGACCGCGTGTGGTCAGTGGAGAAAGAGCAGTGAATGTGGTACAGTCCTGCCTGTAAGACCACAATGCTTCTCGCATTATCGTCGAGGAAAACGAGCGCTGCCGCTTCCTGCGGCTTCGGAGCCGTCCATTTGCACAGGCTGATGACGTTTTCGTCTCCGCTTTCCCAAGCGAGCATCGTTGTCAAGTTGCAGAATGCCGTGCGAGGTCGAGTAATCACCTCCTCCAGGTCCCGCATGCGAGCTTCTAGAACGGCCATGGGCTCGACTTTAATTGGGCGCATCGCAAAGCCGTAGACTGCGCTCCACTCGGGCGACAGCTCGATGCAAAGGCAGAGCTCCATCGAGTCGACTGTAACCGAGACGTCGACAGCGCATGGAGGAGTGCAGTTTGTCGCAGTACCGAGTAGCATTGGCTTGTTTGCATTGATTGCTGAAAGACCGTTCTAGCGACATACCAGAGATTTCATCAACCTTCACGATGAATGAAACAGTACATGTACCTTGATGCTCGTCAAAACGACTGCCGCTGGAAGTGCGTACCGGGACGCAATATGCTTGTCAAAGTCCTCGACCGTGCACTGCCTGCCCATCAAATTCATGTCAGCACAGTAGAGCTATAACGCTTGATCATACCATTGGAGCTTGGCGTTCTTGGACTCGAGCCAGATCTCGGCGCGGGTCTGCGCCGCGTTGGCCTTCACATGCACGCGGTACAAGCTCTCTGGAAGAGATGGAAACGAGACGTCGGCAAACTCACAATAGGGCGAAATGGGCGTGGTCGACATGCTGGGTTGTGATTCAAACGAAAAGTACTGTCTTTAGAAACAAAAACCTTTGGTGGGATAGAAATCATCGCCCGCGCATGGCATTTTCTTGGCAACTGACTGTGGAACGGGGTCGATTTACATCACAGGAGCTGCATCTTTCGGCAACGTGCACCATACCCTGGCATCAATTGTGCAACGGTACACTTCCGTGTCAAGATACGATACTGACGTGGCGCGCTGCGAAGTAAGCACCGTGAAACGGCGACCAATCACACGCGAGATACGTGGCGCTCACGACGAGAATCAATTCACTCCAAACCAAGATCGACATGCGCTGCCTGATGACCCTAGGACGCATAGCCCATTGCAAGCAACTCACAGTGTAGTGTTGCTGAACTACGATCGAACGTCGAGTTAATATGTTTTGTGAATGCGAATCAAGAGTGCAATGGGATATACGTAGAGTAAATACACACAAAACTTCACTTTTGTCGCATGCGCGTTTACAAAGCGCCCTGTTGGAGCTTGCGAATCGTCATGGACCCGGGAATCGCAACATCGTTCGACCCCGCGTCAAGCTCAATATAAGCACCAGCCGTCAGTTGCGAAATGTGCGAGACGTCAGCATGATAGTACCGACTAGCCTCGTCTTCGTTCGGCACGTAGCACTTATAGGGCGCCGTCCCGACGTCAGTGTCGTCAACGAACAGTGTCACTTCGCCCGTCACCGTCGTCAAAGATTTAAAGGTGCAGTAGATGTGGTACAAACCTGGCTGCAATACAACGATACGGCCCTTGTCGTCATCTTCGATGCGGACGAGTGCCGCTGCTTCGTGCGGCAACGGAGCTGTCCACTCGCACAGGTAGTCTTTGGCGTCTCCTGTTGGCGTAGTCGTCGTCAAGGTGCAGAACGTAATATGCGGCCGAGTGGTGGCGTCCTCAAGGTCGCGGATGCGAGCCTCGAGGATGTCGATGAGCTTGACCTCGATGGGTGCCATCTCAAAGCGGTACTTCACTGTCCACACGGGCGAGAGGTGGATGCAAAGACCAAGCGCCAGCGCGTCCTTCTCCAACACAAGGTCAACCGTACTCGAAGAAATTTCGTCTGAGGCCTCTGGCGCATTGGGTCCATCGATGGCGGCAAGCCCATCCTAAGACAAGGGGAGTCTCTCAAGACTGTGGTGTTTGCAGTCTTACCTTGATGGCGCACAAGATAACTGCACTCGGGAGTGCGAAGTCGGTTGTCAAAAGCTTGGCCAAGTCTTCGATCACACACTCCCTAGCACAAACCGTCATCGCCATTTAGTGGATGCATTTCCATGACAAAGCCATACCATTGGAGTTTGGTCTTCTTCGACTCGAGCCAAATCGCAGCGCAGGTCTGGGCTGCGTTTGTCTTCAGCGTCGCACGGTGGGGTCCTTCCTTCGTCGATGGAAATTCGACGTGATTATACTCGCAGTAGAGATGCGCGGGCTTCTGGACAATGTTTGGCATGCTGAAGATGAATCCAAAGTCGCTCTGACGTAGTTTTGGCAACTAACAAATACGATGATGCGAAATTGATGATGTAAAGTGCCTTGTCAGCGTTGGGAAGAAATTAATCGGAAAGTTCGACAATGTATTCGTTGCCAGAACAACGTCATAGAGTCTTTGGATTCAACCCAACATGTCAAAACCAATGCCGGTCATGGTAAATCCGGGTTCGTATCCGGATACCAAGGCCTCGTTGCAGTTAGTTGATGACACACTAGGCAACGGGTATGCAATACACAGTGCACGACCCATCATAGCTGAGCTTTGACGTGAGGAATAAGAGCTAACAAGACGAGATCGAATGTATTTGTGAAAGACTTTACACGCAAAACCAAATGTCGTTGAATACCGGTCGCGGGAGCTCAGCAAATTTTAGATTTCGACAACGCATTGCTATCAATGAATGCGCGTCTGCAATTCTTTTATACGCGGGATGGCTCAGGGGGCGAAAAGGGCGTATTGCCTGAATTACCGCCCCAGCCTTGGGGGGGAGTGGCGGTTGCTCAACGGGAGCTGAATTCTAAGATGAGATCCGTTTCATGTCCCGCTCTCGAAAAGATCGTTTCGGCTCCTTGCGTCGCAAACCACCCAGTTCATATGCACGCTATATTTCGTGTACAGAACTTGTTGCATTATTAAATGCATGACCATTGACGCCCATTTATGATCAACACCGCTCAGCGATCGAGCAGGATGAAGGTCGTCGACCCGGTCGCGCTGCCTTGGCGCATGTTGACGCATAGTGTAAGGCGTGTGCCTGCATCCAGGTACGTCACATAGACCAGGTCAAGTTGGTTGCTCGTAATGTACGAGTCATGTCCGTTGTAGGACGCTGTCTTGGCCGCATGGTCGTTGATGTTGAGGGTGATTGTGGCCGACAGAACGCTGGCTAGCGCAAGGTCGCAGTGAACGTGGTATAAGCCAGGCTGCAGCACGACGATGTTGGTCGTCTTGTCAACGCGAAGAAGCGTCGATGCTGTCGAATTCATCCACGAGAACATAGTGGATGTGTTGTTGGCATGGCGTAATGTCGTTGCCAAGGTGCAAAACTCCATGCGCGGTGCAGCTTTGGCTTCTTCAAGGTCGCGGATGCGTGCTTCCAAGATGTCGACGACCTCGACCTTGATAGCCGACATCTCAAAGCGGTAACTTGCAGTCCACTCGGGCGACATTTTGATCTCAAGCGCAAGCGCCAAGCTCGGCTTCTTCGCGCACAGGTCATTGGTGGCTCTGTCGCCGCATCGACCACCTTTGATGCGGCTCCATCACTGGCAGTGAGTCCATTCTAGCATCAAACGTTTGCGCTTGGTTATATAGCTGGATAATCGTACCTTGATGGCTGCCAAGACAACCGCATTTGGAAGCGCGTACGTTGTCTCCATGTGCTTTGTAATGTCATCGATCTTGCACTGCCTGTGTATATCGTCAAGACTTATGGCGATGACGAAAGTAGGTCCTACCACTGGAGCTTGGTCTTCTTGGACTCGAGCCAGATGACCATTTTGGCTTGCGTCTTGTCCGTCTTGACGCTGACGCGGTACGCGCCACCGTCGACTGTCGACGGGAATGTCACGTTGGCAAACTCGCAGAGGAGGTGCGAGAGCGTTGTTTGTTGGACACTTGAGCTTGGAGGCAAAAGGAAAACTGAATTCGATCGACCATTTACAAAGCTAAACCTAAACCCGCTCATAGAGGCTTTGCAACTTGAACTTCATCTTGAACTGCAAGTTGTCATGGAGAAGAGAACACACGTGCTGGATCGCAGATCCCAGCCGTGACAGTCGAGGCAGTGTTCGACATGCTCAAGATGGAATTAAAACAGCTATGACTGCCACGAGAATTCTCGATTGAAAAACGAATTGATGGTGATGGACGGCATAGAATACCGTTGGTGGACGGTGCAAGCGGTTCTCTCCAACTTCGCGCGCTTAGAAAGTCACTTCACCTCAATAGATGAATCCTGACAGGATTTTTGGCTGATGACGTGGCGTCTGCTGAGGACCTTGGCAAATCAGGTGCACGATACCAACGGTATGTATAAACTGTTCATTGACCCTTGAAGATACGTGGCACCATCTTCTACAAGTGAATCTTGCAGCAGCCAAGTTTGTCACCCACCCATGACTCGGTCGATGATTTAGGGGATGGGCTCGATATAGCTACGTTGATTTCGCGATGTCAAAACTCATGCGCAGTCGAGCACGTTGTCATTTCAAACACGTTTCGCATGATAAAATGAATTATACAAATCGTGTCTGGGCAAGGACGCCAACAGTAGATAATGCTACGCTACACGTGCAAAATAACTGTCATCGACACGCCTACACCGTAGGCAATACCGCCGAGGAGCTGGAGGTGGGTGCCAGCGTCAAGATCCGCAACATGGGCGATGTCGAGCATTTGGCTCGAGTTGTACTGGGTGGTGTAGGACGATGTCTTGACGCAAGTCGCGCCGATGTAGAGGGAGATGGACGCAGACGTAGTGGCTACCGACTGGCAAGCGCACTGGATGGTGTACACCCCTTGCTGCAGCAGGACAACGCTTTCGGCATTGTCGTCGAGGCGAATGAGCGCCGACGCCTTCTTCACGTCCGGTGTAGTCCACGTACACGGTAGGTTCACACCCGCAACCGTCCCCGTCACGGTGCAGAACACCAAGCGCGGTCGAGCGACGATTGCTTCGAGGTCGCGGATGCGAGCCTCCAAGATGTCGACGACCTTGACCTCAATGGGCGTCATCTCAAAGCTATAGCCCGTTGTCCACTCGGGCGACATCTTGATCTCAAGGCGAAGCGCCAAGCTCGTCTTTTCGGCACACAGGTTGATCGTACTGGCAGGTACCACCGATGGCATTGTTGCCGCGTCGCCCACCTTGGATGCAGCTTCATCGATGGCGGCAAGTCCATTCTAGCATCAAATTGTTGGCGTTTGGTTGTACAACGCGCTAGAATATTACCTTGATGGCTGCCAGAATGACGGCGTTCGGAAGCGCAAATGCCGACTTCATGTGCTTGGTAAAGTCTTCGATCACGCATTGCCTAGCATACCGAATATAATGTACTGTGAAATAGATTGCATGATGTTGAGAGGGTTGATCCTACCACTGGAGCTTGGTCTTCTTGGACTCGAGCCAGATGACCGCGTTGGTTGGCGGCTCGTTCGTCTTGACGCAGACGCGGTATGCGCCGTCGTCAACCATCGACGGAAAAGTGACGTTGGCAAAATCGTAGTAGCGCTGGGAAAGCGTGGAGGCAGTGTTCGGCATGCTCGAGATGGAATCAAAACAGATATGACGGCAAAGGTGAGGGGCTGATCGCGATTGTACAACGTGCAGTTGGGCGATGAAGAACAGCCCGTTGATGGCACGAGCACTTTCTCGCTTAGGGCCTCTCGCCGACACCACTCGTTTCGGTTGCCACTGGGCTGTGCTATAAACCCTGTTGGACCTTTGGAAGCAAGTCGGCTGAGAGATGACGGGTCGTCGTGTCCCACGCCAACCGACGTAGCTTGTATATCGACGAAGAAGCACGACACAAGCCACACGCTCAAATGAACGTACTTTGAGCCTACCAACACGACTTTCATTCGATGTCCATATGCCGTCGAATACCTGCATCTCCCCTTTGTCGCTATGCATGGAAACTCCCAAAAATCGTGGGCTCGATGTCAAGAAATCTATATGACGTGGCGAGCTGTGGTGCAAGAGAAAAAAACGGCTGCCAATCATATTCTGCATACGTGGCGTCCACAAAACAAACCAAGACACTGGAATAGGAATAGGGGGACTACCTCGTAGGATGTGGGTCGAATAGAGCACAGGCATTGGCTATAATGCATTCTAGGAGCACAGGCATTGGCTGATTTTTACTTATGAGGCACGTGCTGCTGCACAGGCATTGGCTTAAAATGAAATAATTCTATAACACTCGAAGTTCGTAGACAGCAAATTCGACAGCTTGAAGCAAGGGACGCGCGCCCTGTGATCGAGCCCCTGACGACCCGTTCGATCCATGGAGCCCAAAGCTGCATTGCCATCGACGGCGTCCGTGTTTGCGCGTCGTGCTGACGCCCCAGGAAGCACACGCTATGGTGTGAGTACCATAGGAAGGCACCTCGCTCGCCGCCCCGCGCATAATCCAAGTCGTACAAGCCCCTAGAGAGGCTTCAGTCGGTCGCGTCGAGCTGCTGGTCGTCGAGCTGCCGGTCGTTGAGCCCGACAACAGTGCACGACCGACGGGCGGACGCCATGAGCTTGCAGCAGAGCTTGCAGTGACGCTGGCGCGCTGCTGCCTCTGTGGCAACCGTCTAGCGAGATCACTGGCCAATGCCTATTCGAGTATCACAAATCGAGCATAGGCATTGGCTGGCGATCCTCATCGAGCATAGGCATTGGCTGACAAGTATCCGGATTGTATCTGGAGGTTTAGCGCACAGCTATTGGTAGAAATTAGGCCGAAAATAAGCCCCTTTATTTTATGGGGCCTATACAAACATCAAATGGTTTTATGCGGCATCTATTTTTATCGTTCAACCACGATAGAAGGTCAGCTTTCGAAGGACATGGCGATGGGACGACGCAAGGGAATCCTTGGGACGACGGGACGATGAGACGATGGGACGTCATTCGAAAGTCGATCTTCTCTTCTTCTCTTCTTCGCTTCTTCGCTTTTATTAGGCACGTTTGTTAGTTCCCCACAGTTTATGCGGTACTCGTCTAGAATAGAACGTAGCATACCAGGTAGCTAGCATCCTGGCTATAATACATTCGGTCC